AAATATAATAGTGAAATATGGTCGATCCCTAGGGATTAAGGAATTTTCAATTAAATCTTATTTGATTTTTAACCAGAAAATTTACAAAATAAAATAAAAAGGGGGCTTATCGAATTTAATTGAATAAATTAAAATTAAATAAAAATAACAAAACAACAAAAATAAATAATTGAAAGAGATAATGATAGGAGATAACCTCTAGCTTCGCTTTGACTCGACTCGTCTCGATCATTAAAATAGATTTCACTTCGAAATTCTTGCCGGTTATAGTCTACAAGGCCCAACCCTTGTAACTTGCTTTTCTCTCATGCGAACTAATTTCCAATGTCAATCATTGAAATTTAATTCTTGTTTGAATTTAACTTTGACTATCGATGTTAACGCCAATATCTTCTTTAATACTGGAAAAGTCCGTGCTCGGGTTATACGTCTCAATGAGAATCGAATTCTTTGTTTTTAGGGATTTGAATTTGCTACAAGCCGATTCTCCTCCCTAACGGTAAATCAAAACAACATTCAAGTCACGGTGCAATCTTTGAATTGAAAGTGTAAATAATTTAAATAATAAGTCGATTACCTAACCTTGTTTTCCAAAAATCAAGAAAGATACTTGAAGGTACGAAGCGTTTTTCAATTCTCACGAAAAGAATCGAGTCATCGCTCAGGTATCGACTAAAAAAGATTTAGCTAAGCATGGATTAGATCATGCTTAGCATTGTGAAAAGAAAATTATGAAAGAAAAGTAAAAATATGAAAAGTTCTAAGTAAATAAAATGACTAATTTCTAATGAAACTAAAAAATACTACCAAGAGTTCTAATAAAATAATTAATTCCTAAATAAAATAATAATAAAGTAATCAAACTAAAAATCCTAAATAAAAAGGTTTATCACAAAAGATAAAAATAAATATTTAAGTCTTTTACTTCTGGTTGAATTCTACTTCATCTTATGGATAATCTTATATCAGGTAAATTTCAATTAAATATTCAATATGCTGACTGGACCATCAAAATCTGATACTTTTTGAGCTAATTAATCCAATAAATAAATAATAATCAATCGAAAAATAAAAAATAAAAAACAATAAATATATGTAATATAAAACACTCTTCAAATTCCCCAAAACAGAACTTTTAGCCGGCCGATACAAAAAAAAAAAAACAGAAACAAGACACACCTTTCTTAAACAGCTTTTCCTCCACTCCTTGAAGTAGGCTCATTGGATAAAATCCCAGAAACTCCCCAGGACTTCCAAAGAGCAGCTGATTGGCAAAAATCTTTTCTTGTGGAATCCCGAGGATTGATGCCACGGGCTACAAAAGAGTTTCTCAAATAACCATCAAAGATTATATTAATATATAAGGTTTTTTTAATGGTAAAGAACCTACATGCTGATAATGACTCTAAACTGATAAAGCAGATCATCGGATACCACATTGTTTGGCCGTAAAACAACATTAACCATATCATACATACTTCAATAGTTTTAAATCTGATTGTTTTCCCAAGTCACCGTTTGCCTTTTGCTGTATGTCTCGGACCTAAAGTCATGCAAGGATTTCCCACTTGGTGTTTAATTGTTAGGCAAGAGACTCATTCATTTCCAGATTCTTAAGTTCGAGTTTCCATTTTCAATGCCATCAGAATATTGCTAGTGATTTCAGACTACGTCCATCAAAATGGAAAACAAAACCACATGAATGCCCTAACAGATAAAAGTAAAACATAGATAGTCTTTCAAGCATTTAGAAGCATAGTTGCATACCTTGATCATTTGTCGGAAGCCCCCCGGAAATTAGATAAACATTGGTATTCCTAGACTTCAGCTTCTTGACTAGTTCTTCTATGCCAGGAGAAAGCCTACACATCAGTAAGAAGAACAATGAACACAACCCTTAAATCATCATGTCGAATAGAAGACAAACATTAGGAAAGCCCTAATCCAAGGGGCAACTAACAAGTTTTACAAATTTAAATTACATACTACAATTATAAAGATTGATATGATTTTTTTTGCAAATAACAATCATTATGTGACGAGCATTTTTTCTTAAATCATAAACTGAGAAGCATTATATAAAAGACTAGAGCTTAACTTCACTAACCTAGGCTGACAGTTGGCTATAGAACACTGGGTTTAAGGTTCTGAAACATGTAAAATATTCGTAAAGGTTAAGATGGTTGTTTCAGAGACAAATGGCCATTGACAAAATAGAAGCACCAGAATTTACTTAGTTATAATGTACCTTGCATCAAGTAACAGGGCAAGCACTACAACATAATATATCATAATATTTAAAGCAAATATTGAACATATTGCAGAACAAAAATTGCAAGTTTAATTCGTATTACGGACTTCCTAGCAGAGTGTATTAATCTGACGCTACTAACCATCCATAACTGAAAAGCATTGTGATCATACGAACATATCAATATATAATCAAGACTGAAGTATAACCCTCATACCTTGGGGGTCTTTGGCAGAGATAATCCTGGACTTGAGATAGGGAAGGTTTGAATAAAGATAATCGTGCAGATAAGGACTCCTCAAAAGGAACAGAACCGCCCATTGCTCTACAAATAAAAATATAATAAATTAAAAAAAAAGAATCAACCATCTACGATTCACAATGGAATTGAAGTAATTAAAAATGTGGGGAAAGAACCTAGCAGTTCATTCTCCAACAGCCTTTCCAGCCCCACAAAATTCTGCAAGTTCATTGATGCCCTCATCTACGCATACCGTGCTATCCACATCAAAGCATACTGCATCAGCACTTCTCCACAGCTCAAGAACCTCTGGAATGTAATAAAGAAGACTATCAATAAAGGAAATCACAATTACCATCACAAGACATAAAAAAGTTAAATCTACATTACTCAAACTTGGGTTTGAATGTCGAATAGTATGTGTCTGATACAGGTATGATAAGATTTTTCCATGTTTTTCTATGCGTTTCAGAGGATCCTTGAAGATCATATCCCCATATTCATGTGTTGAACACAAGTGTCGGACACAAATACTTAAAGAAAAATGAAGAGTCGGAGCATTCTAATTTCTAGCTTTAAACTTAAACCCTTAACCAGGTTCAGGCATTCGTCATTCAAGCTCATAAAATTCAGAAGCCATTTTAATTTTAAAATTAAACCCCTTTCTTGTTTTTTATCCAATATTTTGGGGGAACTCAAATAAAGCAATATACGAAGGGAACCACTTGAAATACATAGGACAAGAACCTTTGGAAGGCAGCTTATTATCAATGTGCCGAGTAGTTGAGGCTTCTGATGGTTGACCGTTGTCGGTCATCATTTATGATGTAATATGTAAGTGATACAAAAGTGTAGGTTAAAACGAGTCAAGCTTGAGTATTGTTGAACTAAAATCAACTCGAAAATTTACTAGCCTAAAATTTTCAAGTTCGACTCAAACTCGAACCTAACTCGGTTGAAGCTCTAACTCGATCATAAACCTTAAGTACATGAAAAATTTATATTGCATATTAAAAAAATAAATACATAAATGTTAATACTATTAATAATTTATTTTAAAAAAATAAAATTTAGTATATTATTTTTTCGAGTTACTCGTATTTTCGAGTCGAGTATCAAGTAGCTCGTTTCAGCTTGTTAAAAACTCGAGTAGAGTATTTATCAAGCTTTGACTGAGCCAATCTCGAATAGTTCAAGATCTATCTCGTCTCATTTATTGTCCTACTAAAGTGTTCCCATTTCTTCTCTCTTTTTTTCAGTTTGATTTTCTTCAAAATCAACAAAACTTAAATCAAAATTTTAATATGATATATAATATCTATTATATGATTATCGTATTATCAAGATATATTGATTTTCTTTTCTTTCTTGGTTTTTTCATCATTTGAATTTTAAAAGAAAATATTTTAACATTAATAAATTAAAAAATTTAAAAGAAAATTTTTTAATTTTTTTTACATAAACTGAAAAAAATTTAAAGCAGCATTGCATATTTAACAGTAGGTGACAAAAAATGAAATTAAAAAATTAGGTGATAAATTTTTTAAAAAAGTAGTCTCATGACCAAATAGAAACAAATGTACAGTTGAGGGACTGGAAATGTAGTTTACCCATATATTTTTCTTCGAACACTTGCTTGGTGAAGACTCAATAGTGAAGAAAACACATATTTTTTTGTGATTTTAATAATTTTCTCTAAATTAATATTCGAATTATTAAAATTTACAAAATGATCATAAATAATTAATTTTTAATCAAAAATTGACGAGGTAATTGACAATATTTATATAATAATAAATTTAATTCTTAACTTTTAAATATTATTATAAATTAATTCTAATTCTAAAAATCCGACCTTCACACCATAGTTTACTACAACCATTGCAAAGGGCAAAAGCTTTTGCTCGTATCTTCTTGGGCCTGGCTTCGATTTTCAGTTGGAACAACTTTAATTAGAGATAAGAAGAAAAAATTAATCGACTCGATTTAAAATTTTATATTCAAAAAAATTAAATTCAAATGAATGATAAAAAGAACTCAAATAGTAGCTCGAATAACTCAAAATTTTTATTGATTAATAAATTAATTTTCAAGTTTGAATTAAACATCTCAATTTTGTATTATATACATATATCATACATAAAAAAATATGAAGTATATAAGTATTATAGATGGTTGTAAAGAACCATTTAAATTATAATCAATAATACTATAATATTATAAATATTTACAATCAAACTTAAACAAAAACTCATCTAACTCAACTTGAATTTTAAAAATTAAACTCAACTTGAAAACATTTCAAATAAAATTTGAATTATAAAATAAAACTCGAGAATAACTCGATTTTTTTCACTCAATTCGATTCGATCCCTCACCCAGAAACACTGAATCATACTTTTACTTTAAGGGATCATTGTTCAATGGACACTTTTAACCCATATGGCATGTTTTCAGAATTAAAACCACAGTGGCAAAAAAAAAAAAGGTAAATGTTAGGTGCTAAAAGTTGTGCATATAATACCACGACATCAAATTTAATCAAATCAACAATTATTTGAACAAAGCATTAGGCCTCATTTGAGCAGATTCCAAAACATCGCACCATTGGAATTTTATTTGTCACCGTCGGAAACCTAGCAGTCGATCTTTCTATTTTTATTTAACCCTCAAGTGCCGATGATCCAGATATAATCTCAATCAACTCGGTGGTAATCGATGCTTGACGGGTTCTGTAACACGAATATGTAAAAATAGACTAAATGAGGCTCAACACAAGTGACTGGCAATCCGGTTTAATAACCGAGTCACATAAACGCAGAGGGTAAGAGGGAGACCTGCTATATGTAAGCGTTAGGCGATCAAGCATGTCGCCAGCGTTTCTGCTTGAACCATCCATTGCGGACATTCTTGCTCCTTGCTCACTACAAGCATTCTCCAACACCGCATTGAACATGACCTGCGGGAAACATGAAAATCCTTTGAGGGTGAATTTCGGAAACTCTATCACACACTGATATAAAGCACACATGAGAATCCTTTTTAACAGATTTTATAACGGTAAGATTGTACTCGGTCATCCATATGGGTCAGACAGAGATTGTACGGGCTTGCCCCGGCAACCAGAGTCGGCAGAATTTGCAATAATATAACAAGGAAGCTTAAACCTCTATCACAATTATAGGAACCTCACTGATCAAGTGTTTACTTTATATCGTTTCATTAACCAGCATTACATAGAAGAGGCTACACTCATCGTTATACAGCTCTCCCAGAAGACCTAGGGTGTTGAGAAACATTCACAAATTTGAAAGATGGGAATTTATTCATTAAATGTTTAATATTTAATTATTCATAGTTCATGCCTTCATGGTATAACTTTGATGCAGAAAGAGAAAAAACAAGGATTTTTGTTAAAAAAACAGGACTTACACAAGAGAATTGGAACTCTGCCAGATTTTGAAGTATTTCTCCCTTTGTCTCACCACCCTCAACTTCATAGGAGTCTAGATCACCAAGCTTTCCCCCAGATTCAGCTTCCCGTTCAACAATCTGTACGAATAATCGCCAAATAAACCAGAGATCAAATAGAGCAACATTACAGCAGGAAAAGAAACTATCAAGCTGAAAGATTCTGGTAATACTCACTTCGGGTGATAATACAGTTGATACCGTCGGCACAAATGAAACTACTGAGTGAAACTTGTTGAAGACAATCCTCAAAGCATCATACTCAACATTCTTTAAGATCTCATCAGCAAGGACAGAGACCTGAAGGTACAAATGTTTGCAAGTATGGAGAAAAAACAATAGAAAAAGTCCACAAAAAAAAGAGATTCAACTATTTTGGAAAACTACAGTTCATCCGAAAAGATTGATGGTTAACACAGTCAACTGCAATCTACAACATTGTGTACAAGACATTTATTGAAAGACAAGGTGACTTGGCAAAGAAAGAGGACTAGGGAAAGTTAAAATTGAACTTCAACCAAGAAAATTTGGGATTGCATTCTATATTTGATGTTAGACAAATGGGCATTAACTAAAGCTAGAATTGATATTGATAAGTGCCAATGTTATGTTCTCAGGTCAATGGTTGAAATGCGTTAAAGAAAAGTCTTTTCTCTTGGACTTGAGTCCAGCATTTGATAATTCTTTTGATTTAAATATTAGAATTTGAGACCAAAGGCCCATTAAAAGTTTCCTTCCATTATCATATTCCCCTTCTCAGTTTTGAATTTCATTCAGTCAATTTTGCTAGCTCCCACTTTGGGAATCTACTAAGTGTGATAGTAGGATAAGTAAAAGACTACATACATGTACAAATTAGATCATTCAACTAATAGAGAACAATTATAGGAGAATATGCACCTGTAAGCTCTTTAGGTTTGCGTGAAGAATACCTAATCCTATATGAAGCCTTTATGGCTTTTAAGGGAAGACTGAGGAGATCTACGACAGATTATAACCAACCTTAAAGCATTCTCGTTCAACCCAGAACCCCCATCTATCAAACTCTAACTAGATCCACAGCAAAACAACCTCCAACCCTACCTTAAATTACTGTTATGGCTACTATTCACATCCCAGGTCAGTAGGAAGGTTGAATCTTTAGTTGCTTTGTTGCCCTCAAAACGGAGTATTTCCTTTCTAAACCAACTGAATAAAGTTATGATCTATTATCAAATTAAGTCCTATAATTACTGGTCCTTGCCCGTTATATGACCAGATTTTTCTTAATGCGACATATCCTACTCCTGAATGACCAAAGATGTCAATAAAGAAATCAAGCATTCAAATGTTCTTTCATAGTTGCAAATAAAGCACAATGACAGACCTGAGTGTAGTTCAAAGGATTCTTCTGCAATTCGGTTATGATTAACTCAATGTCCTTCTTAGAGTCACGAATCAATTGAGCCTTTGCCTTCTCTCCCAAAATAACATATTTTGTTTCTTTTTCAGGACCTTCGGAAATTAAGATATTTAACTCATAAGCATCCAATTTGGATACCAACAAAGAGGGAACAAACAAGTAGTTGTGAGGGAGATATACCAGAGTTCAACTTGTGGAGCCCTTTGCTTATCTTGACAGATGTGGGGTTAATTCCACCACAGAGACCTTTGTCTGAAGAGATGGTCACCACGACACTCTTCTTGACATCAGCACCTAGCATTGTGACAAGACATTAATAAAATGAGGCAGAAAGAAAAATATAAATTTGATATATGTAAAACATGATAGTATAACAAAACTATAGAAGGACAAGACATGAGAATGAATAGAAAACCCTATAACCATAACCAAGCAAGTTCCGTTCACCACTCTTTTCAACTTGAACCAAGTATACTAGTTACTAACTGAAACTATGCATTATTGATACAGAACCAGTTCTGTAAATAACCATAGCCTGTTTAAGCTTATGTTCTTTCAGAGTTAGTCCAAATAGGCACACACATACAGCATGTTTGCATGAAAAATCACAATCCCGATTACTCCCCAATAAACAAATTCAATGAGAAAAATCCATCTTCTCCAAATCATGAACTAATATAAACTTCGGACAAATAAGGATATATTCACTAAACTTTCAAACAAATAAACAATAAGAAGCATACATAAAAGTGCAGCTAATCTGCTCAAGTTATTTTTTTACCAACAAAATAAGCCACATTTGTGTAATCTTCTGGATATAGAGAATGGGGGAAGAAAAACTAAGCCAGCCCCCATATGGTTCACAACTTGTAAACCAATTCAACATAAAGGGAAGAAAGCACAATTTGAGATAGCAAACGTTAAGCAAAATGCAATGAGAACACACACAAATTCAACTGAGCTTGCTCAGTCAAGGGATATATATATCAAAGGCTTCTTAGTGGACATACTGGGTAGATCACTGAGAAGTGCAGTAAACGGTTGCCAGAGGCCACGAGAATTCTCAGCTTTAGTTTGAATTGCTCTCAGCTTTGAGGCTGCAACCATCTTCATTGCCTTTGTGATTTTCTGAATATTTTTAACACTCTTCATACGGTTTCTAACTGCATGAATAATTGGCCATCACCCAAGTTATTACCTTAACAAAAAAACCCTAACTCTAGAAGAAAGCATGAGAAGCATAACCATGTAACATCATACTAAAAGGAAACTAAAAGAAACAGGAGGAAACTAAAAGAAACAGGAAATATTCTTACCGACGTGAGTTGAAATATTGCGAACTCCAATAGGACCCTCATCCCTGCCATCCGAGTTAACTTATTTATTAGTTCAAATTACATCAAAGAAAATAGATAAAATAAATTTCATTATAAATCTTATTAGGTTCAATCAAACTTTTTATATTTTAATCTTTTCCAGTCTTTTGAAAATTTAAATCACCCAATCAGACCAGAATCAATGTTTATCTCATTTTTTATATGTACTTCATCACATTGGGAATTTTTATTTAAAAAATTAATGCAGTAACTTATGTTAGCAGGGAAATGGATTAAGCTTGTCCACCAAGAACAGTTGACAATTTAATACCCCGGTAAGAAAAATAGAATGATTTTCCATTTTTCCAATTTAATACTTGTTGACTGATTTTTCAAATCTTACTCTCCAGCAATACAACCAAGAGCCACTTTAGATGACCTAGGAGTAGCGTTGAGGCCATCGAACTGCTCGGTTTTCAACTTCAAAAAATGTGACTCGACAGTAGAAATCTTGCCGATGGCAACTACTTTAGACAACTTAAGAATAGTCAGGGGCATCGAATTGTTCGGTTTTCACCTTCGACAAATACGCCGTGATCGCAGAAATCTTACAATCAAACTTTTGTGTGCATTTTTTAGATACTAAATCGTTCCACGCCATATTGCTTTTCAAACGACAGCATATTTCCCGTTAGAATTTTGGTTTCGAACCTACAAACAACATTAAGAGGCATCAATTCCATATCATACTTGTACAAACATTGTGTGTTACTTGAACTTTGATGCATATGCCAAATACAATATGTGTATGACACGAATATGTTTAATTTTTCAAAGTTTATCTTGATATTTCACAGTTGTTAGAGTGTAATATCTCCATCCCCATGTATGCGTCAAACATAGATGTTCCAAAGGAAGAGTCGGAACAACACAAATAGAAACAACTAATAGGACTAATAATAGATTTCCATGTATTTCGAGGGTCCTTAGAGGACCCTATCACCAACCTATATCCAAGTATGCAATGTATACAAGTATTGAACATGAATATTTTAAATGAAGGGTCGAAACGATATAGATACAAACGACTAATAGAATTAATTCTGCTCGCAAAAGCTTTTTGCAAACTGTAACAGTTAATTTTTATTCAAATTCGAGTATGAGTGTGGGACATAAATATGTGTTTTAGTCTAACACGGGAATGTACATTTGTTTTTAAAGATTTCTCTGTACCTAATTATATTTTAAGAAAAACGAACAGTGGAGGCAATATATAGCTTCATTGATCCAGCTCTTTAGTACAATATCTCGAGTCTCCTTGTCATGCAATAGGCGAATATACTGCTGCTTAGACCCACAACAAACGAAGCATTATGGTAACTGTTGGTAATGCTCAATCTCACATAGTATTAGAAATACTATTGGGAATGGGTATTTATGGTTTGGATTTCTCACTTCTTTGTTGAGTGAAAGAGAACAAGGGGGACTCTCGCGCACCGCTGCCGCCGCTGTCCGTCTCGTCTCGGCACGGCACGGCTCGGCTCGTGGTAATACGTGTCTTCGACGCGTCCGCGCGGATACTATCTTTTCAGAGGAATTTCTCTTTGAAAGAAATAAATGGAAAAATGTGAAAGATTTCAACAGATATTTATAGTCTGTTGAGGACTGTTTAAATTTAAATGATAACAGCTGGTTTATGAGAGTTATCAGAAATTAAACAACTTTTCCTAAATTAAATCAAAAACGTTAAGATGTATCTGGACTAATTTCCAGCTTTGTACAAAGGGGACAAGCTGTTAATATCAGGAGTTACAGGAGTTATTTGATTTAATTCCAAGGGTTACATGATATAATTTCGGGAGTTATAACAGCTGAATAATGATGCAATGAACCTGGAATATTTATGAGTCAGGTTCATCTAGACGTTTCAGCTGTTACAAAGAAGAGATTTAATCCTGAAATTTTATGGATTACTTTAACCCTATTTCTAGCCTATAAATAGAGAGCTATATTCAGCTTCTCGACTCACTCTCAACATTCAGAATTCACTCTCTAAGTGTTTTCTAAATATTCTCTCTGTGTGATTTCCGATAAGAAGAGCAATACCACCAGCAGTCCACTCCGATTTCAGGTGTACGAAATTCGAAGCGACCGTGTTAACCTCGGGGAACGGTCCGCATACAGCAGCGATTACACACATCGGGGCTAATTCGTTTCTAAGGTAGTGTTTATACCACGACACGGTTTACAAATCTGTTCTTTTTCAATTACTGTTTATCTTTCCTGTCAGTGCTAACGGTGTGGTTTTACAGTCTATTTTACCAGCAGAAACATACCATCGTATTAAATTTATCTTAAATGTGCATGCCCAGGATGAGCTTAAGTGCTCTTAATAAATTCATAGCCCAGGCTTTAGGTGGTCTTAGTGAGAAAGACTTGATGAATTTACCGATTTTGGCTGAATATCTATTCTTAATAAGTTCATAACCCAATTTGAGTGGGTATTCCTAAGTGAGAAGGAAATAATGAACTTACCAACAGAAATGTTGAGTTTGTTAAACTCTTAATAAATTTAAATCCAAGTATTTGGATGGTTCTAGTGAGAAGGACTTATTGAATTTACCGATAAACGAGGTTTAATATTTATTCTTAATGACTTCTTAGCCCAGAGTTTGGGTGGTTCATTTATAATGAACTTGAAGAAAGTCACCATACTCTTTGTGAGGTTGAGCTTTTATAAAACCTCTTAATTATTTCATATCCTTGTTAAGGGTGGTTTATATCGAGATAAACTTGATGAAATAACCTATGTAAGTGAGAAGGGTTAGCCGCCTTCTATGAAAAATGTTGGGCCAATTTTCTAGCACACTTACTAAAATCCTGAGGTAAGATGACCAAATATATACTTTTGTATATATATATATATATCTTACACATCGAGGACTCCGGTGGATGAAGGGGTTAGTTGTGTGTTATGAGTTTACCCCCATCTTAGAAAGTTTCAGACTAGTTTCCCTTATCTAAGAGAATGATTGCTCATTGTACTAGTTCCAGATACGTTCACTAGTGCTTAAGCAACTAATATCGCTATTGCTCTTCTGGAAAGTTTGTTTTCGAGTTTCAGAAGAATTCTTTCGCATTAGTGGGGGAATGTTGGTAATGTTCAATCCCACGTAGTATTAGAAATACTATTGGGAATGGGTATTTATGGTTTGGATTTCCCACTTCCTTGTTGAGTGAAAGAGAACAAGGGGGACTCTCGCGCACCGTCGCCGCTACCGTTCGTATCGTCTCGGCTCGGCACAGTATGGCTCGGCTCGTGGTCGTGGTAATACGTGTCTTCGACACGTCCGCGCGGATACTATCTTTTTAGAGAAAATTCTTGAGGAATTTCTCTTTGAAAGAATCAAATGGAAAAATGTGAAAGATTTCAACTGATATTTATAGACTACTGTGGACTGTTTAAATTTAAATGATAACAGCTGGTGTATGAGAGTTATCAGAAATTAAACAGCTTTTCCTAAATTAAATCAAAAACGTTAAGATGTATCTAGGCTAATTTCCAGCTTTATACAAAGGGGACAAGCTGTTAATATCAGGAGTTACATGAGTTATTTGATTTAATTCCAAGGGTTACATGATATAATTTCGGGAGTTATAACAGCTGAATAATGATGCAATAAACCTGGACTATTTCTGAGTCAGGTTCATCTAGATGTTTCAGCTGTTACAAAGAAGAGATTTAATCCTGAAATTTTATGGACGATTTTAACCATATTTCTAGCCTATAAATAGATAGCTATATTCAGCTTCTCAACTCACTCTCAACATTCAGAATTCACTCTCCAAGTGTTTTCTAAATATTCTCTCTGTGTGCTTTCGGATAAGAAGAGCAATACCACCAGCAGTCCACTCCGATTTCGGGTGTACGAAATTCGGAGCGATCGTGTTAACCACGGGGAACGGTCCGTCTACTGCAGCGATTACACACATCGGGGTGAATTCGTTTCTAAGACAGTGGTTATACCACGACACGGTTTACCAATCTATTCTTTTTCAATTACTGTTTATATTTCATGTCAGTGCTAACGGTGTGGTTTTGCAGTCTATTTTACTAACAGAAACATACCATCGTATTAAATTTATCTTAAATGTGCATGCCCAGGATGAGCTTAAGTGCTCTTAATAAATTCATAGCCCAGACTTTGGGTGGTCTTAGTGAGAAAGACTTGATGCATTTACCGATTTTGGCTGAATATCTATTCTTAATAAGTTCATAACCCAATTTGAGTGGGTATTCCTAAGTGATAAGGAAATAATGAACTTTCCAACAGAAAGTTTGAGTTTGTTAAACTCTTAATAAATTCAAATCCAAGTATTTGAATGGTTCTAGTGAGAAGGACTTATTGAATTTACCGATAAATGAGGTTGAATATTTATTCTTATTGACATCTTAGCCCAGAGTTTGGGTGGTTCATTTATAATGAACTTGAAGAAAGTCACCATACTCTTTGTGAGGTTGAACTTTTATAAAAGCTCTTAATTATTTCATATCCCTGTTAAAGATGGTTTATATCGAGATAAACTTGATGAAATAACCTATGTAAAAGAGAAGGGTTAGTCGCCTTCTATGAAAAATATTGGGCCAATTTTCTAGCACACTTACTAGAATCCTGAGGTAAAATGGCCAAATATATACTTTTTATATATATATATATATATATATCTTACACATCGAGGACTCAGGTGGATGAAGGGGTTAGTTGTGTGTTATGAGTTTACCCTTATTTTAGAAAATTACAGACTAGTTTCACTTATCTAAGAGAATGATTGCTCATTATCACTATGTACTAGTTCCAGATACGTTAACTAGTGCTTAAGCAACTAATCTCGCTATTGCTCTTCTGAAAAGTTTATTTTCGAGTTTCAGAAGAATTCTTTCGCATTAGTGGGGGAATGTTGGTAATGCTCAATCCCACATAGTATTGGAAATACTATTGGGAATGGGTATTTATGGTTTGGATTTCCCACTTCCTTGTTGAGTGAAAGAGAACAAGGGGGACTCTCGCGCACCGCCGCCGCTGCCGTCAGTCTCGTCTCGGCACGGTACTGCTCGGCTCGTGGTCGTGGTAATACGTGTCTTCGACACGTCCGCGCGGATAATATCTTTTTAGAGAAAATTCTTGAGGAATTTCTCTTTGAAAGAAACAAATGGAAAAATGTGAAAGATTTCAATTGATATTTATAGGCTGCTGAGGACTGTTTAAATTTAAATGATAACTGCTGGTTTGTGAGAGTTATCAGAAATTAAACAACTTTTCCTAAATTAAATCAAAAACGCTAAGATGTATCTGGATTGATTTCCAGCTTTGTACAAAGGGGACAAGCTGTTAATATCAGGAGTTACGGGAGTTATTTGATTTAATTCCAGGGGTTACATGATATAATTTCAGGAGTTATAATAGCTGCATATTGATACAATGAACCTGGACTATTTCTGAGTCAGGTTCATCTAGATGTTTCAGCTGTTACAAAGAAGAGATTTAATCCTGAAATTT